GCCTAATTTTTTACCAAAGAACCCCCTCAACTATCCGAGGGGTAAAAGAGTGGACAGTTGGACCAAAATGCCCTTTTATTCAAATCATAATTCGCTTAAATTTTAAAAATTCATATCTCATAAATCCTATATTAAAAAATTGTAAATAATATATGCACGAAAAGTTTATGAAAAAAGAATTCTAGAAATATAAGATTTATGCAACAAACCTTTATAACCAAAGAGAAATAGGCAATATAAAAATTTGCTTCAGCAATTTTTTTTTATTTTTTTTTTAAAAATAAAATACTCGGGATATTTGTAAGAAAATTTTCAAACTTATTCATTTACATATGGAGCATAGAATATAAAAAATTTAGCCCCAACAGAAATCGATTTTATAAGATATCATATTGTGCATCAAAGTATTTTCAAATTTTTATAAACTCACCATTTAAAAAAAAAAAAAAATCAAAATGAATATTTGGTCTCTGTTGGGGCTAATTTTTATATTTGTTATACTCCATATTCAAATGAATGATTTTGAAAATTTTCTTGCAAATATCCCAAGTATTTTATTTATTTAAAAAAATAAAATAAAATTATTGTAGTAGATTTTTAGATTGCCTATTCTCTGGTTTTCATGTTTTGTTGAACAAATCTTATAATTTTGGAATTCTTATTTTATAAACTTTCCGTGCATATTTTATTTGCAATATTTGGATGTACGGTTTCTGCGATATGAAATTTTGAAATTCAGACAAATTGCAATTTACATAAAGAGCATTTTGGTCCAACTATACACTCTTTTATCCTCCGGATAGTTGAGGGGGGTTCTTTGGTAAACAATTATTTAAGGAGAGTTTATTGAAAAATGCTACAAGTCGAGGGAGATTTTTTGTACTTTGCCCTAAACTTAATGTCAATTATTATAATTTTACTTCAAAATTTTAAAACTTGAATAACATTATGCCACCAAAGAATAAATAATCCAATTGCAATCTTAACCTTGGTTTATATATATAAATAATTTGTAGTCATAAAAATATAAAAGGTATAAATTTTCTTGCATTTCGGGTTAGTTAAGTTGCTCCAACTTTACCCAAATTTAACTCAAAATAAATTCAAACTCAATTTCAAATATTTAGGACATAAAGACACAAGTCATTCGAATTAAGCCCACCAAAGTCTTTGCGTGTGGTGAAATTTATTGTTTCAAAATTGTACTTTTCAATATTTTGTACTACAATCTTAAATGAAATTACAATTTTAATCATAATTTTAGAAGTAAATAATTATTACTTTTAAAATAACACAACTACTCTTTTAGATTTTCTCTCCTTATTTGTAGTCTTTAATATTTTAGGTCTCTTTTAACAAGACAAAAATAAATAAATAAATAAATTGAATAAAAAATAAAATTAACTATTAAAAATTAGAGTATTGCTATTGCAAGAGCGCTCTCGCAAAAAGTTTAAAGAACTTGCGCTTATAAGCCACAGATAATAATTAAGAAAGAATCATTGCAATTAAGAAAACAAATCAAGTATTTTTCTCTCTCTTCTCTTCACATTTTCTCTTTCTCTCCCTTGGTTAGTACCATTAACTAATTAATCTCTTTTTCTCTCTTGATTAATCCTCAAAGAATCTGTCTCTTTCTCTCTCATAATTATTAACCCTTTATCTTTCAATCAAAGAGTCTATCCACCAACATTTCATTATTCCTCACCGACAGACTAGGTTCTAGTAAGTTAGACTTCATCGATAATGTTGTGACACTATTTCATTCTATTTGAGATTTTTTTTCTTTTCTTTTATTTATTTATTTTTATTTGTTCGCATTTTTGAGCTTTGGAATAACCTCATCACAAAAAATTTAATTATATTTTTCTTTTTTTTTTCTTTCTTTTGTGTTTTTGAGCTTTGGAATAGCCTTATCCTAAAAAATTTATGTGTTTAAATTAAGAGAGAGAAATAAACAGATTGGTTGAGGGTTAACCGAGAGAGTGAAATAGAGAACATGCAGAGAAGAGAGAAAAAAAAACTTAATTTGTTTCCTTGCAAATGATTTTTTCTTAATTAATTATCTCCCAAATCCCTAAATATAAGAATTATGTGACTTATAAGCGCGAACTATTTAGACTTTTTGCAAGAGCACTCTCGCAATAGCCTTACTTTAAAAATTATCTCTTTTGACATGAAAAAAAAAACCCTAAAAAATATATATATTTATTGAACAATTATCTCTTTTGTCAATATCTCAAAAAAAAAAAAAAATGGTATGAAAATAAGTGGATTTAAAAAAAAAATATCTCTTTCGATAATACCAGAAAAAATTATTTTTTGACAGGAAGAATAAAAAATTACCAAGAAAACAATTACCTCTTTTAACAGGACTGAAAAAAAATTAACTTTGTTGAATAAGTATTTCTTTCAATTGTTAAAAAAAAATCACTATGGAATAAATTATCTCTTTTTTATTGTCAAAAATAAAATTATTAGTATGAAATAAATTATTTTATTTGAGAGGACCCAAAAAAAATGAAAGGAAATGAAAAAAAAATATTAAAAAAAAAAGTTCAAGTTTTATAAAAGATAATTATGACCTTATAAATTAAGAGATGGTGTATTAATAAATTTAATAATATTCTTATCTTTAAAAACAAATAAAAAAATAAATAGGATGTAATAAGAGAATAGGGACGGGGGAATATTGCCTACCTTAATTAAAAAGATAATGGGAGTTAGAAAATTTGAGCAATGGGAGATTACAAGCTTCTATGCAACAAGTGGAAGTACACCCATTAAAAGAATAAAATATCGTGATTTTGACAAGGAGGTGATGTGGCGCGTTTTGCGCTGTTAATATTACACCCTGGAATAATTAAGTGAGATATTTAGTAACAAGATTCTTGTGATATTGCTATTTTTCACAAAGAAATTGTTTTATATTTTTGTTTAAGGAGTGGCTAGAATGGTAGACAGCAATAACATCCATCCACTATTTACATCTGACTGTCCCTATTTTTTTTTTGGATAAGTTCTGGCTGTCCCTATTTATATCTGACTATTACTCATTTACCATGTAAAAACTAGAGAAAATCAAAACCCTTTACCGCTATTATATTATATAGACGAAAAAGAGATTTATTTGTTAAAAAAAAAAAAAAAATCGCAAATGGTTAAGAATATATAAACCCAAACATAACTATATGAATGACAAATTACAACACGACCCACCGAGGGGCTCAATAATCACCTTATTTGGATTAGAAATGAAAGAGTTATGACCATTTGAAGTCAGGGAAACAAAGCTGATACGAAACTGGAAGGCAGTTGAATGAAAGCTCATTTGATCAGCCCGTGTTCCGAAATTAAGGGTTCTCAAAGGAAGTTGTCAATCTACAGAAAAGAGTCTCGGAAATCACTCCAGAGCACTCAAGATGACACTATGCGACATAAAACTGAACTCAGAAAGGAAAAAGACCAACGAAAAAAAAATCTTATTTTACTGTGTGCGTAATATGTGTACTTCATTTAGCTTCGTATACTTGTGCCTGTATACTTGATTCATGAGTTTTCCATGTAAATTGTATGTTTGTATATGCATGTTTAGATGATACATAACAGTAAATGAGTTCAGATCATATACGAATTGATACGATTAACTTATTTACTTAACCGAGTTAGGGTTAAATTAACCCATGTAATTCATTTACATCCGTTTAACTCGACATGCCATAATCATGTATATAACTTATGTAATAATGTAATAAGTTACATGTTTAAACTTAATTATTATAGACAATTAAAGTCGTTCCTATCTTATGATTTTTTTTTTTTTTTGAATATTTGGGTTAATTGTGGCAAAAAAAATTTCTTCTAATATTTATTATTTGATTAAATACTAAATATTTCATTTTGTTAAACAAATTATTAAACGAGTAACCCTTTAATAAACCAGTAGGGTTAGCATTGAAAGTCCGGATCATGTTTGAATTTACCTATTTAATAAAATATCTTTACACACGACGACAAATTGCCACCGCAAGCTGTCAATAAAACCAAAGCCTTCATTTTAGTAAATTAGGATAGCTTTCAAAGCAAGACCAGATTCTTATACAGTTATTCAAAAAAAGCGAATCATCAACGTATTGTAACAGAGTCCCTGGAATAGCATATCAACAAAGGCCTAAAGCTACAAGGGCTCGTGTTTTCTTCAAAACTCTCTTATGCCACTATCTCTGTGCAGTCAAATGCTTAGGCTATTTAGTAGAGGAAGCCACCATCACCATTCTCATAATAAGTTACAAATGCTCAACACCAATTAAGGGAATGCTCGGTTCAATCTCATGACAATAAGTAATCAATAAACAAAGATTCCGGCATAAGCATCACAAAACTTCCCTAATTCCTATCTATCATCATCACCAAGGGATCCTAAGAAAAACTTACTAGGTATTCTTTTCTAATATTTCCATGAGTATGAAACTTACATAGTATATCATTTTCAAATTTTCTAAAGAGAAGCTTCTAACTTCATTTAGAGAGGAAGTATCAACCAAGATGACACACCGAAACAAAGGGATACATACAACCAAGACCACTGGTTGAACTTCATATCCCTTCCTCCAGCCTCAAATGGGTTCATTAGAATCAGAACACAGGGCTAACCTCACTAAAATTGCAGTCCGAGCCAGCCTCCACTCAATGAGTTTCACCATGAAACAAGTATACCAAAAAAGGAATCGAACAAAGCTCCCCCGTGCACTCACAGGTAGGGCGGGAACAATTCATCACCAAGGAACTTTTGTATCCAGAAACTTTAAAGCTTTGGACCTCACCTAAAGGGGAGCCAAACAAGACTCCCTAAAGGGGTGCCTTATATTCGAATAGAGTATCCCTGCTCCTAATATATACTATTATTCAATTGCTACCAAAATTTGAGAAGTTTCCACCTCAAGGATTGAAAGGAAGTATCAACAACAACAGCAAAAAGTAAAAAAAATAAAAAAAAATGGTGACAAGAAAGAAAAACACATATATTTCAACAAGTAAACATTGAACATTAATTAATAATTAGTAACATCAACGATTGTAATACTGCATATAGCCCATATGAGCTTCGGAAAGCTCCTGAAACTACTTTCATTCTACCCTACGGCTTCTTTTTCTTTTTCTTTTCCTTTTTCTTTTTAAATTAAAACATTTATCAAGATGGACTAATCCGAAATGGCTGACCATCGAATTCTTGAAATCCTTCACAACTTGGTACAACTTATTACATGGATCACCTTTCCTTTAATCATCATCCTCGTCTTCCTGCAAATAATAAAAATAAAAAATGCACATATAAATCTCTTGATAACAGTATTAATATAAACAATTTTTTTTTGAAGTAATTAATTTTCAAATTTATATGAACCTCTCCACTCTCATCTTCCTCATCCTCATCGTCCTGCACTTCGGACTTTGACTTCTCAGACTCTTCTTCCTCAGCCTACCATTGAAATTCAACCATCATTGCAACAGCCAATAAATGAACAAATATTTAATATATATATATATATATATATAAAAGATAAAATAGGAAAAATAGCAATGGTCATGGGAAAATGTATACAAGTTTCTTATTGTAAGCCAGGATGTTTTTGTTGTAGTCAGTCTTCCTTTTCTCTGCCTTCGCCAAATAAGGAGCTTTATCCTGATTTTGTGGAAAAAATATATATAACAATAAAAGCAATAAAATGAATATATCCCTCTGATTAAGTAACAATTATGGATAAAAAAGACAATAAATTATTATATTTTTCATGAATTTACTCACAGCTTCGGAGAAAGATTTCCATTTGTCTCCACCAGCTTTACCAACCTGATTAATAATTGCCAAAATTATTATCTAATAATTACATAAAATTAAATCACAAGGAAACTAAACCTAAAGCAAATTCGATGATCTCGAGGTTGAAAAATACTTACAGCGGCCACAGATTTGTTGTTTGGATGCTTTTCTTTGTACTGCTTCCTAAAGTCTTCCCTGGATTCATCCAAAACAATCAAAATAGTCAACTATAAACAGATTAAACAAGACCTAATTTTGAAAATACTGATCTTTCTATGTTCTTCAGATAAAATATATATATATATACATGAAGACGAAGAAGGCACTCGGAGGCCTCTTTGGCTTGTTAGGATCCTTTGCAGGCTTCGCCTTCTTGGCCTGTCCCTTCTTCACGGTGAGCCTAACAACAAATTATCAAAAAAGTGATAAGAACAATTTTAATCTTCATCAATTCACATCAACAAACAATCAGGTAGATATATATATATAGAGAGAGAGAGAGATCAAACAACTGAAACACAGTAAAACTCAACAGATTCTCAAAATGAAAGCTAGTCAACGAAACTTACTTGGTATCAGTTCTTTTTGTTTCGGTCTTCGATCTACCACCTTTCATGGCGAAACCTGAGGAAAAAACGACGAAAATCGGTGAGAATCGTTGGGAATCGATGAAACTCGGAGTGAGTTGGCGCCGCAGAGAAGTGAGTTACCAGTAAGGATAGGGTTTTGGTCCTTTGGAGATAAGGATACACGCAAGAGAGAGAGTGAGAGAGAGCAAGACAGAGAGAGAGAGAGAGAGAGTGTGTGTGTGTGTGTGTGTGTGTGTGAGGGCTTTGGGCTTTTAGTGAAGCGTACTAGCGTTGTGTGTGGGTGAGGTATGTGTGTGTTATTGTGCGGAGGCGAAAAAGAGAGAAATATGAAGGGTCTGGAAATTAAAAATTGAATCACCAACGAATTGAAGTCCGGGTTTGGGCGGGATTTCAAAATTCTTTCATCTCAAACTATTCCCTCTATGTTTTTTTTGGTTCTATCTTGCTCTTGTGATTTCTTCTCTGTCTCTTATCAAGCATCAACCCATCTAACCTTCAAATTAGGAGAATTTTAAAAAAATCTACACTTTTAAATTTGCATTGACAAAACTCAGTTTTGATCTTTAACTCACACGTAATTATTTTGTAAACTTAGGAATCGCAACCTGGTAGATTCATGGTGAGATGTTTCATTTCTAACCAGTTGGATTTACGGTGAGTGGTTCCATTTTTAACAAACCAACTTAAAAGTTATGTTTGGTATAGTGAAAAATAAAAGAAATGATAAATTAGCTCGGAGATAAAATAAATAAATAAAGGGATAATGTTAATTGTTTATAATGTTTGGTTGATTAATAAATTAAAATAAAAGAAATAATAATAATGGAAAAAAAAAAAAAAAATTAGACTATTGTAATAAATTTACAACCTTTCAATTTTTCATAGAGTTTTTTCTTATAAAAATAAGAGCAAATTTAGTATTAATAAAGTTACATTAAAAATATTAATCTTTCCTTCCATTTGTTCCCAAATAACTAAAGATACTATGAAATCTTTCATTTTCCTTTTCTTTCATTTACACCCAACATTTCCTACCAAACACTTTTTATACCGACCCTAAGTTCTTCTGCTCTGTCCAAAACCGTTTGGTAACCACCATATCGTTTGTGGATTAATTGTTTAAGTTGCTCTGACCTATTAAATTTTAACTTAAATTAATAAAATTCATATTTAAGAATATAAATCAAATAAACATTCTTCTATAATTTACACAATTATACATATTAGTAACATTCTTCCAATAACAAAAGTATTTGTACGGAGTTAATAAGGTATAAAATGTAATATAATATTTTTGCAATATAAATGGAGCGAGAAGGGATGATCTTCCCTATCCCACCTCACACTTGTGTGGGCTTTCCTTATAAAAATCATCACGTCCACCAAAAAGCATTAAATACATCCATGTAACAGTTGAAAATCGAACATGAAGGGAGCTTCCTTGTTCCTATCTTGCACCCGCACAACTTTTCACTGTAAATTTATCCCCACCCAAAACCATTAAATAACTGCTAAAAATAAAGGTAAATACATGATCGGATGGAATATTTTGCCATTCCTATATACACCTTTAATAGGTCATGGAGAACCTAAAGTAAAATTTTGCAATGCATGATATGGAGTGTGCTCAGATTTGAGTTTTGTTTGATTACTCAACAGTCATTTGGAAAAAAAATTTGTTTTGTTGACAATTAAAAATAATAAAGAAAATTTAATTTTTAGTTCTTATAAAATTTGTTTTATGAGAACCAAAAAAAAAAAAAAAAATTTGTACAGAAAATTGTTTTGTTGACAATTTTGAAAATTATTTTATAAAAACTTAGTAAAAAAGAAGTTTGGGCCTTATTGATTTGTCACTCACAAACCAATTATTCAAAAACTCAAAAAAATAGAAAACAATTCTCTCAAAACAACATTTTTAAAACTGAATTTTCAGAAATTAGTTCTCTAACTGTCAACAAATAAGGTTTTTGAACAAATTTTTTATTTTAAGTACTCAAAAAATAGAATATTGTTCTCATAAAATTAAATCGAGCAGTTTTTATTTTTTTAGAATTCTTGAGTTTTCTAAGTATTATTTTAAAAAACCTAAAACATATACCATTTATCAAACTGGTTAAAATAAATAAAAAGACAACTAGACTTATTCAGCCCTCAAGGTCTTCCAAACTTACTAACATCACTATCAAAATGGTTTAAAAGTTTAGGTATGATATTATTATATTTTTTACTTGGTATCATAGCTTAACATCTATTATTTCTTTCAAAATTGTTTTAATAAAAGAAGCTTGGTACCCTATACTATTTACGATTGTGATGAAAAATTAATAAACAATAAAATGAGAATGGGTTCAGGTTTAATTGGGGTGGTCTAACTCCTTCGGCAAAACCCAACCTGAATTGATGGTTAGGCCCAACGTTTTGAATCCAAGCCCAACACAACAAAGGGAGTAAATTATCAAAAAATGGCGTTACTAGCCAGGACCAAAAATAGAATACGGTAAAAAAGAATGTCACACGTAAAAAATAAAAAAGAGGAAAAGTCACACGTCAAGTTTTTTTTTTTTTTTTTTTTTTTTTTTTTTTTTTGTTAAAAGTCACACGTCAAGTTGAGAAAGGAAAAAAACATGGAAAAGTCACACGTCAAGTTGCGAAAAAGTCTCTCTATAGTTGTCAAGCCGCCACCGCCGCCGAGCAACATCTGTCTCAGCCGAAATGGGCAAAAGTCCGCCGTACCCACCAATCGAACCCACCAATTTCGACCTCATCGTCGTCGGCACAGGCGTGCCGGAATCCATCATCGCCGCCGCCGCCTCTACCGCCGGAAAAACCGTCCTCCACCTCGATCCCAACCCCTTCTACGGCAGCCACTTCTCCTCTCTCCCCCTCGACCAACTCACCTCCTTCCTCCAAACCCCCTCCTCGCATGACCACCTTGCGTCCGATGGAGACTTCGTGGCCGTCGATCTCCACACCCGCCCAATGTACTCCGACGTCCAGATCTCCTCCCACTCCGAACTCTCCGGAAAGTTCACCCTCGACTTGGGCGGACCTAGGGTTTTTTACTGTGCGGACTCCGCCATTGGTCTTATGTTGAAGTCAGGTTTGAGTCAGTACATGGAATTCAAGAGCATTGAAGCTATCTTTGTGTGCGACGGCAATGGAAAGCTGTTGACTGTGCCAGATTCGCGTGAGGCGATATTCAAAGACCAGAGTCTAGGGCTTATCGAGAAGAATCGGTTGAGGAGGTTCTTCAATCTTGTTCAGGAGCACTTGGGAGCGGGAGGTTCTGATGGTGCTCAGAACAGTGAGAGTAGGATTCCAGAGGATGAATTGGAGAGTCCGTTCGCCGAGTTTTTGGATAAAATCCGACTGCCACCGCGGATAAAATCGTACAGATCAAATCGCCCTTCTATATTTCTATCTGTTAGTGACAGTTCTTGTTTCTGTTCCATTACCTTACTGTATTGTATGATATGAATTTTTAGTATTTAGAAGCATATTGACTATGGTTTTAGAAGTTCATGTGTGTACTTCTACAATGATTTTAGTGTCTAGAAATGTTTTTTTTTCTTTTTTTCCCTTAAGTTGAAGATATCACTGTTTTTATTTATCTTGGCCTTTTATGAAACACATTATAAGATATTCAGTTTGTAAAAACCCTATAAAATGTGTAATTGGTAGTGCTTACTTGGTGCTGTTTCTCCTAATTGACTTCTTAATGGACATAATCAATGATTTGATTCTAAATTTTAGCTTGTATTAAGGTTTTGATTTGCATTTGATGGTTTATTAGGCTTTTGAGTGAAACAAGGAAGAGAAACCAGATAATAATGAATTTTTTATTTCAAGTCTTCAATTTAGTTAGATGTTGGAAAAGGAACAGTTTAGTCCAGTTTAGTCCTCTGTTTGTATATTTTTTGTTTTCTTTGTTTTCTTTCTTCTTTTTCTGTTTTGGAGAAAATGGAGGAAAGGGAAGGGAATAAGCTAAGAGAGAAGCCATTTGTGAGCAGTTCATTCCCTTGCCCTTGTACTTTCTGAGAACCAGATGGAGCATACCATTTTCTCCACTAATCAACCTCTTTGTTTCTCTCCATTGCTATTATTTCCTTCTCCCTTCTGTTTGAGTGATGATGCTTTTTTGAACCTTATATCAGCATGTGAGGGGATTTGAGGTTCAGTTCGACTAAGAATACTGCATGATTCTTCTTCTATGTGGTGGCTATTTTTATACATTGCAACTTTTTCTTTAAGACGTCTTTTGGTCTCACATCTGACCTCTCACCGCATCAGTGAACTCTGTTTCTATCTATCTGGTTGCTTGGTTTAAACCCCTTCTTCCCCCCTCCCCCCTTCTATTTTTCTCTTGGTGGAGAACATGAAATCTCTCTCTCTCTCCCTTTGAATACTTTTGGGTGAATGCTCATTGTTTAGTGGAGGACATTTTCTCTTCTGATGAAGTTCATACCTAGTCCTTATGATTGTATGTTAAATGTTTGATTGGATATCTTCATTGCACACGTTCTTTCTAATGGATAGTTTTTTATTGTTAATTCCTTGTCCTTTATTTGTGATGCTCTTCAGAATAGTGATAACCAACATCAATTTTTTGCCTGTAGGATAATTCTCTATGCAATAGCCATGGCAGATCATGATCAAGACAATTTAGAAGTTTGTAAAGATGTTCTCAGCACAAAAGATGGAATAGACCGTTTAGCACTTCACCATTCATCAGTTGGCAGGTTATTTTTCACCCTTCCATTTCATACTTGATCAGTTATCCGAAATATTGTTTCATGAAGGGTCTTTGAACATGTGTATGTTAACATATAAAAAGGGCAGATTAGCCTGGGAACAACAGTTCCTTTCTTTGTCACTTTTGCCTTCAATTTCTTCTAAAATCTCCCTCCTATCCTCCAAGCTTCTTCTCTAAATGGTAGGTGTCTAACAGAAAACCTTGTTTCTTAAATGATAGGCTGCCTAATACTTAATTAATTGTCGTCATAAAGCATTCTAAATGTAAGAGGTAACAGGACAAGGTACAACTGGTAAGTAATGATACAACTTTTGGTTCTTCTCATCCTGTTCAGTCTACAACCCACAAGGGCCACAACCAAAAGTATACAGTAAACTTCAAGAATGACCATAGAAGTTAAGGAACCTTAATTTTACAGATATGACAAGTCAAATGACTTCTTAATTAGTGAAGTGAAGGAAATTGATTGAATGGTGGTTTGGGGTTTAGAATGATCTGACAGAATATACTGACTTTGAGTGCCATATAGATGTTGTCTTATAAAGGTAATGAACAATCCTTTATTGAAAGGGCTAGTTACTTACTGCTGCAAAATGCTTCCTTCTGCTTTATGATTTCTGTCCTTTTTTTTTTCTTCATAAAGTGCATAATTGTCTTCTCTGTGTATGTCTTGATGTACGTTAATATTCTTTTGAATTTATTTTTTATGACAAGTTTAAATATCTACAACACAGAAAATTTATATGGAGTTGTGCACTGATGCCTTGTGTTTCTGATGAAGTCATTGCATGTGCCATGTTTGATCCATGACTCTTGTTTGTTCATTGTTGTTTTTGTCTTTTATCTCTTTCAAAAGCAAGTTTCCATCAGTTTGCCATAAATCTTTTCTTTAATGTTCTCAACATTTTCAGGTTTCCAAATGCAATTGGTGCTATGATTTACCCTGTTTATGGACATGAGCTACCACAAATCTTTTCTCGTCGTGCTGCTGTTAAAGGTTGTCTTCAAGTAAGTTTTGTGAACGTAATTTTAACTACTTTTCTTGGGTAAAGCTTGAATATAAGTTTTGTACTCTATTAATTTCTCAGTCCCTCTAGTTAATTTGCCTTTTTGCTTAAGCATTCATGATGATTTTTCAAATCAAGAATGGTTTAGATGCACCTCCCTAATTGTTTGTTTATGTTGCATTTTTTCTTCATTAGCACACCATGTCATCACCACCCTTTTGCCCATTGGTATATGTATATTTTTTTTTCTTTTCTTTCTTGCTAGATATCCTGCAACTACTCATATGTTTGGTCTTCTTCTTGCACCAATATGAAAGGGAACTTGTAATATGGCATTGATGTGCTCCAGCAATTTTGGTTCTTTTTTATTCCATATGTTGTCTGATGCTTGATACTCAAGATCTAAAGCTTTGTTTTGGATTTCTTTTTTTGAATTTTTTGGATATAGTTTTGGCTGATTGCACTACATCAATATGAAATTGATGATATTCTATTTTAAGCTATAATACTTATTTGAATTCAAAACTTATGTGATACAGGTTCTTCGAATGCCCGTGGTTGCTTTGCTTATGGAAGAGGTTCAAGAATATTTGCCTGAATTTTTGTTAATTTTCTGGAATCTTCAATTGGCATAAATGTAAAATGCATGATATTTGTAATCTTGTGAATTATGCAGGGTAGCAAGAGTTATAAAGGTGTTAAGTTGTCTTCTGGTCAGGATGTATTTAGCCATCAGCTGCTCCTGGATCCATCTTTTGAAGTTCCATCACCATCTCTTAATTCCCCCCCAGATTTTCTGCAAGACAGTTCTGAAATTTTTGGCCCAAGAGATGTTAAAGGAAAGGTGGCTAGGGGAATATGCATTACAACCTGTTCCTTAAAACCAGATGCACTGAATTTTCTAGTTGTCTTACCTCCTAAAAGTGAGACCAAAATCACTGTCACATTCTATTCTTGTACTTTGTTGAATGAATGTATAATATATTATTGACTATTCTTTTCTCTCTAGCTCTGTACCCTGAGCAGGTTACATCAATCCGAGTTCTCCAAGTAGCCAGCAATTTATTTGTTTGTCCTTCTGGCATGTAAGTTACTTTTTTTTTTCCTGAAAAAGATACACATTGTAAGTTTTATCATTCCATCTTGCATCTGCTTTTTGTTTTCTTATGATATGCTGCTTGGAATTTGTTCATCACTGTTTGAAAGCTTCTTTGTTTGCCTGGAATCCAAATTTTATGCTTTCTGCATGGCGCATATAACTTATTTTGGATAAATCTTGCTAAAATCAGACTAAAAACAAAGTCAGTTATCTAATGGTCCAGTAATTCATCTTGAGTTGGCTATGGTCATGCCAATACTGCCCTTCCAACAAGATTCTAACAATCTTATATGAGCACAAATTTATTGAAAATTATCTTCTCAATTCCTTGAGGGTTTTTAAACCTTCTTTCCGGAATGAGAGTAAAGGCAAAGGCGATGATATTGTTTTTTGTTCAACTTCAAAAGAAATGAAAGAGTAAATTTAAATTTTCAAAATTAAGGAGTGAGAAATAAATGTTTGGTTCAGTTTTCTGAGAGTAGTTTTTGTTTTCAAAGAATTGGAAATCAGAAAACTTGTACAGATACTTGTTTGTTTTCTGAACATTCAGTTGTAAACAAAGGTTTGTTTTCAAAAAATTGTCTTTTCTAATTCTCCGAAAATAGTTTTTTGTTTTTGGGTTCTTGAGAATTGTTTGCAGGAAACTAAACCATACAGGCCCAAATTTTCTTGTTTTTAAGGAATTGAAACTTGAGTTTTTTTTGACACCTTCACAATATAAAAGATAAAGTTCAAGCCCATGGTAGTTATCTAGTGTGGCTGGGACTAACTCTATTTCGGGTTAGCAGTGGAGAATGAAAAATTAAAAAATAAAATCAAATAAAACAGAAGATGAGAAAAGTATATGAATCCTCAAAAACATCTCCAACAATGTTGTGCTACAGTGATCCATTATTGCTTAATCTGGATGTCATATGGTTCTGCACATATATTTTGAATTTTTTTCCCCCTTCTCTTCAAGGTTTTTCAAGAAAGTTCTAGATTCCAAAAAAAAAAAAAAGAAAGAAAAAAAAAAAGTCATTTAGGATGATCATTTCTCCAGATAGTGAATTTGAATCAGATAGAAGAAAGGCACCTGTGCATGTTTAGGTAGGCATATTGGTAATTGTCTAGAAATACTTGGATACTGAACTATTCTTACCATATTGTCTAGCCACAGTATTCTAACATTCTAGATACTTTAACAAAAAGCAGGCCTTTGGGCTGGGAGCCACAGGATATGCTAAGAACACGGATTCCTCTAAGGTATCACTATTTTAATTTGGAATTTCAGAAACTTGTTGGTTTCTATAGTTTTTTTCTCAAGCAGAAAACTAGGGAGCAATCCCCCTCTCCTCCCAAAGCAATGACAATAAATCTTTTGTATTGAATGAACTGAATAGTTAATACACATTACTCACATATATTTTTCTTTGAAATTATTTTTAGATCTTAACACCATGTTTCTAGAATAGGGAGAAGTTCAGAACTATTGTATTCGTCCCTCAATTATTTGATTATACATGGTTTCCAGGTTGAATTGATTGGGTTTCGCTCCCCTCTTGAGCATCTTTTAATAATATTCTTTTATTTATCAAAAAAAAAAAAAAAAAAATAGTGGGAAATACGATTAATAGTTAAATTATGTTGTTAACTTTCTTGTTCAGGTTTGTGTTGTATCTTTCGGCACTGTGTGATGACGCAACTCAAGGGAAGAAGTTGCTAAATGAAGCCATAGGTGTTCTGGTTTCGGTTCCCATTTCTGGGAACCCTGAAAATGGTTCCACAGATACAAGTGAAAACACAGAAGGGAAACCAACTTTGCTTTGGAGTTGCTTGTATATACAGGAGCTGACCATGGTTAGCCTCTCATTCTTAGTGTTTCTGTCCCTTTTCTAGTTTTTCATTTTCTTCTTGAAATCAAACATATTCTTATATAGACTAATCGCATTTTCTATCTACCTTTTTTTTCCCCTTTTCCCATTTTTTTTTTTAAAAAAATTATTTGCAATAGTGCCATCAGTTCGAGGGTTAAATTTTATTTAATATTTCTATTTGGGGGGGTAAGGGAAGGCTATACAGTCGGTACAGTGCTGTTTAAGCATATCGGGCCTTGACAGCCTGTCAATCTTGTCATCTAAATAGTGAAATATTCGAAAGCTAAACAAATATCGGTGCTGGCGAATGCTTTGAATTGTCTTTTATTTACTTGTTGTATGTGACATAGAGTCACTAACATGTGTGCTCAGAATTCATTATGTAGACTACATTTTTGAGTGCCAATGATGCTTATACTAAACCCTCTGGTTCCGTAGGTTATGATTTATCTCTTTGTATATGAGATGTCTATGTAATGAGGCTTTTTTTTTGGGAAGTATTTGAGGCCCTCCGTTGATTTATTGACCTTATAGTTGCCTTGTTTGATTCAGGGTTCTTTTGGATCCATCATTTCTACCCCTATGCCAGATGGGAATCTGAACTACAATGATGTTTTAGATACAACTCTGAAGGTACACTGTTTTATAGTTTTCATTTTTTAAAGGACCTAATTAATCTCAACATGGTTCCATATTTTCCATGAAGTTCTAGCTGCTCCTTTCTATTTTCAGTTTTTCGGCTTTTCACGTCATATACTTTTATCTATTAAGATCTTATAATAATATTTACCACATTGAAGTGCTCACTAGGATTTGCTATATTGGGCAGCTATTTCACAAGATGTATCCTCATGAAGAATTCTTCCCTGAGACTGCCTCATCTGATAACATTGAGGATGATCCTGCTGGGTTTGATCCAGAGTTAGAGTTGTGATTTGCTGGACTCCTTTAACAGTCATTGCAGTGGCATCAGTAAATGAAAGAAATATAGAGGCTTTTGTGGTCTCCATCGACAAGTTATTTGTCCATACGTAAAATCATAATTATAGATACGTGCCTTTTCCACATAAAAAGGGAATCTTTTGTTACAATAGAAGCAGTTGCTTGTGTGGACCGCGGTACAAATTTTCTTTTTATCTCTGTTTTACTTTTTATTTATTTATTAGGTGATTAAAAAAAAAAGAACAAGAACACCTAGATGTTTCCTTTTTACATATATACCCAAAATAGGGTGGAGAACTATTGGGTATTTTACTTCCAAGTTATTGCCCAAGCTGCCACATGACTTGTATTATTTAAAGCAGAAACAGTAAACAGATATATCCTGTCAAAATCTTGTAATGAAATGGTAGTTTTGGATCATATCTTTGCTTTCTATTACTGTTACAGTCTGTATGGTCAAAAATCTTGTAATTTGATGTCAAAGAACTATATTTTTTGGTCGTTTTGGTTGAATCTTTACTTTCTATTACTGCAATACATTTTAAAATATTTCTAGAGCTAATAAATTACATGGCAGCATTTTCCAAAATGTTTTTGGTAAACATCAACTGCTGGTCATTATCCAAAAGTATTTAGAAATACTTTAATGCTCTTGTATATTGAAGGCATGGTATCATTACTCACTAAATCCTTATCTATTATAACAGGCACAAATGAAAATTTTGGTACACATTTTTTGACACAGGTTGGAATTCAGGCAAAAACTGTATTTCGAATCAACTATTTTCCTGTTTAAAGAGTGTTTTATCAAATAGGTACAATTTCCTGCCTCACACACACACACACACACACACACACACATTTATACATAGTTTGGACAAACTCACACAAGGTTCCAGATCTTCTCTACATCACATGTGCTAGACTTCTATCTTCCTTTGGAAACTTGTATCTATTTAATAACCGGATCTAGCCAAATCAATTTGTATATTCCCATATGGTAGAACTTTGGTTTTGTTTGGATTAAGTGATTAAGAGGGATTTGAAAAGAAAAGAAAAGGAAGGATAGTGAAAATTGTGTTTGGATAAATTTCAATGAAGAAAAAGAAAAGTTATCCGAACATAATTTTCACTATCCTCTTCAAAATGAAAAGATTTGAAGGGAAATGATAGCAAGAAAGTAGTATTCTCCATTATCTTTTCCAAATAAGAATACAATCATTTCCTTTATTTTTTCTCATAATTTATCCAAACACAAATCAAGGTTATTGCTATCATTTTGTTTATTTTTTTTTAGAACTAACTAATGTTGTGCTTTATTTTCTTTTCTTTCTGTCTCGTTTATCCAAATGAAGTTCTAGGGAACTTATATTGATGTACTAACCTAAATAAGGGTTTGAAGGTCCGGAATTCGAATCCTCTTGGGACAACTCCCGAAGAGAAATTTTTTCAGTAATTGCCTAACGCATGTGGGACAGGGGGCTTGCTCCTGGAGTGAACAAAAGCACCAAAAGAATCAGATGGCTGCTTCTTGTTGCTAACACTGCTCCCGATGTATCATGAACCATTGTCAACATACAAACTGTTGAGAGTGACTTTCTAAGAACCCACATTATGTACATGCCGATTCAATGTGTGTGTGTGATTTTTTTATTTTATTTTATTTTATTTTTATTTTATTATTATTATTTTTTTAATATTCTTCCACCAAGAAATCACGAAATTGATCTCAAGCAATCAGCCAGCTACTTCCAGGAGTTTTATTCAGTCCAATATCTACCATTTTTCACTTTAGCTTAAGACTTTGTTTGTTTAGGTAGAAATAACTAAAAAAAAAAAAAAAGGAAAGAGAAATTTTTTAAATTGTTTTAAGGTTTGGATAGATAGAAATAGAAAATTAATGGAAAATTTTGTTTCCATGCTTATCTATTTTCTTGCAAAACTTTTTATACACAAAACATAGGGAAATAATTTTTTCTCCTGAAATGTTTGCCTTTTTATTGGACATTCCTATTTTACCCATTAAATTAATAGTGAAAAACAATTTTTCTTTTATTTTTGTATTGGATTTCTAAGAGGCAAGTCCCATGCAAAACAACCTTTTTTTTTTTTTTTTTCACCTTTCTTTGTTTTTCCACATGTTCATATATAATTGGCAACAACAAAATACAATCAAATCTCGCTAAAAAAATTAGTATTGCCATCAATACATTTCCGTGTTTTTTTTAATTTTCGTTTCTCATACACTAATAATTGGTACTAAAAATAGACATCAACAAATACAAATTCATTTATTTATTAGTATTTAAAATTATAAGAATAATTTTGGTATCTTCAATCGATTTCTTTTCATTTTCATGCTAAATTAATATTTTTCTATAATTTTCTTCAATAAATTTTCATTCCAAATGCATGCTAGAAAATAATTTTTTTTCCATTCATTTCACTTTTTTTCATTTTTCATTTCATTTAATTTCTTACTTATTTCCATCTAACCAAACGGAGCCCAAGAGCTTCTTCCCATTTTTCCTCACCAGAGTACAGGTTAGACAAAAGAACATAGGAAGCATGATTTCCCCGCCATTCCTTCATCTCCATAATTCCTACAAGCGCTTAGTAATGTTTTCCACGCCAAAACATTTTGGTATGCCCCGTCAAGCCTTCCAGCACGACCAAAACCTTCAATCAAACAAGAATAGTGCTTAAAATCTGGCTTAATGTTATACGTCTGTTTCACAATTTCTGCTTGATTTTATTATCATTGAATGGATTTGAACCCCAACAAGATTTTAGAACAGTCGTTAGAGTGGTTTCATCAGGTTTCAATGTGGTTATTCGGCACAGTTCTCGGAAAAGATTGAAGCACGAGGAAGCAGATCCTTCTTCTATATGTGTATCATTGATCCTTCTAAACAACTTCTCTGCCTCGCAAATTTTATTGGCATCTGCATATAGAGTCATAAGAACACTGGCAACAAAAAATCACCCTGAAACGAGTATGAACTTGAATTCCTGTTCTATAGTCTCCAATCTCCTCCACACAACCTTTCAAAGCACTTGTCAATGCATGTTGAACGAGTAGCACGCATATCTCTGAATAAAATGAGAGCTTCCTCCCCACTGCCATTTCTCACATAACCAGATATAATGGAACTCCACGCAAAACTATCTTTCATCTCCATGGATTTAAATACTTTCGAAGCCGAATCCATATCTCCACAGTTCCCATACAAATCCACTAAAACACTGCCCTGCATCAATTTTAGTCCCAAATTTTAAAGCAACCCCATGAATTTGTTCCACCTCTCTCACCAAACAACAGCAAACTCGCAGCCCTCATTTCCGAAAGTAATCTAAGAACTTCACTAATTTTACCATCTTGAGCAAACCCAGAGATCATAACATTCCATGTAACAAAATCTCTTTTAAACAACCCATCAAAAACACAGAATGCATCATCCAAACTACATCCAATTTTGACGTAAAATTCAATGAGAGAACTCCCAGGAAATTCATCTCTCTCAACCCCAAAATGAACAATCAGACCATGAATTTGCAGACCCAATTCAACAAACCCAATATGCGTGCAAGCACGAACCGCGCTAGATAGTGTGTCCTGGTTTGGTCTCTCACCTGATTCAAGCATCTTCTTCAACAACTGGAGTGCAATTTCAGAGGACCCATGTCGAACTTGAGATGAAATCAGCGACGTCCATGTCACAAAGTTCTTTTGAGGCATTTGGTCGAACAAGATGTGTGCACTGCGCAGATCTCCACATTTTGCGTAGAAATTCAAGATGGTATTTGAAACGTTTAAATCCGAGATGGGTTGAAAAATTATGATCCTTGGATTTGCTTGCGATCTTCGATTGATATGGATATTGAGTGTCGTCGCACTACCAGTGAAATAGTTCCGTCTTCGGGATAACTATGATGAGACCGGCAAAAGAATCCAATCACTGATCGGCGAAGCATTTCAATCCGACGGCTGGGTTATCATGTTTATGCACTCCGATTACTGAAGATGGAGTTTTTGGTTCCAAATTTTCTAAATTTTTTCGCCTGTAATATAATTGAGAGAACGGACGAATGCGCATGGAGTTTGGTTGGGTATTGGGCTCACAAATAGACCAACCAGGCTGGTATTTGAAAAAAGGCTATGTTTGGCAGGAGGTTTGTATATGGTTGTGTTCAACTGAGCTCTTTAGGCCCAACCTTTTTAACTGTGTTTGTGGGGAGAGCATGCTTTTCATTGAGAATAACCATACCCGCAAATTATTATCGAAGAAATTCACACCCACTTTTGTCCGTATGAAAATTAAAACTCTCAACGAGAAACGATCTGTTTGTTGTTTTATGTTAGAATGAAAAAAATGGTTTTGTTAGTAGAACTGCCAAAAAAAAAAAAAATTAATAATTTGTTGCTGTTAGAAGTTGATAAAATGTTAGGCGTTGTGCCTGACTAAATAAATTTCAGTATATTTGAAGTATTTAAATAATGTGTCAAAAATATTGAGAAGAATTTTAAGAGATTGACATGTACACAGCGAAATGATTATGGAATATAATATGGATAGATAACTTAGAGGATGGTAAATATATTTAACTTACTCTTTTATCCAATTATTTTAATTTTACCAAAATAAAATTAAAATCAAATCACAAAGCAAAAATAAAGTGCAAGTAAAGTAAATAAAGTTTGAGAGATGACATCAGAAATTTATGTACCCACGGTAACATTACCCAGGGAAGAGTATCCAAGGGAAAATTACCAATGGTAACATTACCCAAGGGAAAAGTACCCAAGGGAACATTACCCAAGGAAAGAGTATCTTAAGGAAGCGTACCCAAAGGTAAAATAACCCAGGAAAGATACTATTCCTGAGGGAACAGTACCCGCAGCTCCCGAGAAAACAGTGCCAAGGGCAAAAAAATTTTTTTTTGGTAGAATAGACAAATTGTAACCGGAAAAACCTCGTTGAGCTATCCACTATGTTTGAAGCAAAATATACCAAACTTTGATTCAGTTTTACACCTATCGTTCTACCAACAACCAATTGCTGACAATCCCTGACTTTACGATTCGTTCTACCAACAACCAATTCCCATCCAACAACTCTCAACTTCAGGCTTACTTTCGATCTTTGTAGAAGAGTTGCAGGTAGATCAGACAACACTCCACGAATGTTCTGACCCCTTCAAAGTGTGATCGCTTCACCCCTTTTCTTCTAGATCTGAATTTGATGAAGAATGAATGAATTCTGCTTTTTCCGGAATTTCTGAATCTTAGATTATGCTTCAATTCCGATGAGATAGAAAATAACACTCCTAAATCACTCTTGTATTTATGTGTGTGCTCTCAAAAATAAAATCAGATTAATTTTCTAAATGAATAAAAAAAAAAATCTCTCAAAAGGCTCTTAAGTAGATCTGATTTTTTTATGCAAACGTAAACCTATGTGTATGGCAAGATTTATATAGAGTTTAGAATGTCCTAATCCTTATGAAAATATAAAAAATTTATTTGGTACAGTTCTGAACCAAATAGGAAAGAAATCAGAAACATGAAACTAGAATTATAACCTGAACAAGACTTTGAACCTGTTCAAGATTGGCATAAAGAATTCGAAGCCAATCTTGAAGGCCTTGAACCGGTTCAATGGGGCTGAACTGGTTCAAGTCTAGCAGACTTAAATTTTCAGTTTTGAAAGGTTGAAAACACTGTTTTGGTAAGTTCTGAAAATATACCTAGTGTAGAATATGTCCTTACAGTTTTAGATTCCTTCCTAAAGTGTTATTCTTACCTTTTTCTCGAATGATCTCAGTCATGGTAACTTTTAACAACCTTCCAATTCTGTAGTCGCAGTCGCTGTCGATACCGATATAATATCTTGAAGTTACAACTCCACAAGGATTTGTTTTAACACCGAACGTTGTTAATTACAGAATATATATTTTTTACAATCTTCCCAAAATATATATATCACATGACATCCATATATGAAAATGGTGTAAATTTTGAGAGTTTAACTTTTTAAAGATGAGATATTGGTACTGAATGAATTATTAAATTTATTCATGGTGGGTCCAGAAAGACGTGATAAATTGGTAATGTTATCAAAAAAAACAAAAAAAAAAAAAAAAAAATAGTTGGGATGCGTGAGTATCAACTAAAAAAAATAGTAACTCTTTTATGCTTTTTAAATAATTAAATAAATAAGTGAATTTCATACTTATTTTAGAACAGCAAAAAATGTGAATTATGTGATGGTTTATTTTTTATTTTGGGACAACCAAAAAAATTAATAAAAAAATTAATATTTATTTTGGGACAGAAGTAACTCTTTTCAATTAATTAAATAAAAATAAATTTTCTATAAAATTCTCAATCTAACAAAATACAAGTAGGAAAACTTAAGTATCTCTTTCAATTCTGTTCTTGATATAACAAACGGTACTGCGAATCAATGATTTTCGCCTTGACAATGTTACTTACCGTATTTAATAAATACGTCTCTTCATACTTTTACAGGTATTTATAATTTGGATAAATTAAGACTTTTATTGCTTTAACTTTCCTCAGATTGTAAAATGTTTTTCATACTCTTCTCTTATTTCGTAATAATTCAATAAAAGAATTTGTCAAATCAAAAGACTATGTTAACCCTTTTATTTTTATTTTTCCATCTTATAAACACTATATCACCCTACCTATTTTTTTTATTTTTTTTAAAAGAAATTTATTCAATCCTAAAAAGACACTAATTAAATATCATTAGTAAAAAAATTAGTTTTGTAAAATTTAATAATATAAAATTGATATTTTGTATTTCAATAATATTTCATGACATTTTTATTATTTCATGTCAAAATATAAAGTTATTGATGTATTTGAACACAAAAAATTGACAATTTACTCATTTTTTGTTTTTTTTTATTATCAATAATAACGTAATTAAACACATACACCAAATATCAAGGTGGGAGGTTAAAATAATAAAGACCAAATTTATCCTTTTTACCTTAAAAAATTTATGAAAAATTAAAAAAGTGGCGAATCGGGCCCACACAATGTGCAAAATATTCGACTCGATTAACGACGAATGTTTTACCCCACTCATAAAAATTCTTCCTTTTTTAGTATTTGTCTTTTTCCCGCCACCGTAGTAAGAACTAATCGGCAGATTTGTTATTTTGGGCTACCACTCTCAAGTCTACTTTCTTTCAACGTTGCTTAGTTACATCTCATTTTTTTTTTGTAAGATTTGTCTGTTTTCATTTTCGTTTCTCTTTTGTATTAATTCTAATTTTAGTTTTATAATTTGAGTTTTAGGGTTTTGAGCATCTGTGACTAACCATTAGCCTTGTTTTTGGATGAATTTAACAGGTTTCAGATCCCTCATCTCTGACCCTTGTCCTTATTTCGTTATCCACATATCAAAGGTGACATATATATTTGTGTGTGTATATATATATATATATATTTGCGTACGTATATTAGTTCAAATCCGTGACTTTTCCATATATTAGTGTCTCTGTACGGATAAATACGAATTCCTTTCCATATCAGTCAAATTTAAATCTCAAGGTGAAAAAAATAATTAAAAAAATATTAATCAGAATCCTCGACTTAATTTTTAGTTTATTCAAACGTAGCAATAGCATTAAATTACCTAAGACTGTTTTTGGGATTTGGGGTTTTGGGAATTTGTGAAACTATTGATCCCCTCCCTCATGTTCGATGAAATGCTTCAGTGAGCCTCTTGGTTTAATTTCTTTGATCTTTGAGGTATTATAAACCATGTTAACTCAAATCTAACTATAGTATAATATTCTTGTTTGTCTTACTGAAAAAATAAAAAAAAAGATTGTTGTTTGAGTATGAATCCTAGATATGGGTGAGCGCTCTGTTTGAGAGGTGAGCTTCATAAATTGATACATGGGTGAGCAAGGTAGCATTTTGCGTCGTGCCTGAAAATTTCATTGGTATATATAATGGGATGCCTCTACTGATTATACATTGGGTCCGTGCCTGGCCTAAAACATCTTATTTTTCAATGTTCAAAAAGATTTATATAATGATTTCCTTTTTTGAGTGTTAATTTATGAGTTAGTATGGTTGTAGATGGTTGATCAATAAAGCTTAACCTGATCTTGGGTAGTAAAAAATGTGGGATGCTGTATTTCCAGGTAGTAAAACATATGGTTCGAATGAGACATTTTAGGTTATATTATTGGCATTTGTGGCCATTTTAATGGATCAACAAGTGTCCTACCTAGTTTGTCAACTATTTAGTTCATTTATTTGGTAATAGAAGCGGAAGGTTTAACTCTATATAATTATGGACTAAAAATGTTGTATTTTGTGCTTATAACTTTGACTGCAATGGTTTTAGGTTTGGTACAGGACTAGAAATGGGGGGAGATAGTGATGCTACTGTCAACAAGTTGTTTGGGAGTTTTGGTAGCTTCATGAGAAGAATTTTGTTTAATATTCTTGCTATGGGTCCCATCCCTAACCACATTGCCTTCATCATGGATGGAAACCGGAGGTATGCTAAGAAGCAAAATTTGAAAGAAGGGGCTGGCCATAAGGCTGGGTATTCGGCTCTGATGTCCATGCTGAAGTACTGCTATGAATTGGAGGTGAAGTACATAACGATCTACGCATTCAGCATCGATAATTTTAAAAGACGGCCTGAAGAAGTTCAAGATGTGATGGATCTAATGCAGGAGAAGATCGAAGGATTGGTCAAGGAAGAGAGTATCGTGAATCAATATGGAGTTAGGGTTTATTTTATAGGGAACTTGAAACTTATGAATGAGCCTGTCAGGGTTGCAGCTGAGAAGGCAATGCGTGCCACAGCCAACAATACCAGAGCTGTGCTATTAATTTGTGTGGCCTATACTTCTTCTGATGAGATAGTACATGCAGTTCAACAATCTTGCCAGGATCAAGAAGCAATTCAAGCATCTAATGGTGTGATAAACGAAGAAAAGCAGGAGAAGCATCATGCAATAAAACTGGTAGATCTTGGGAAGCACATGTACATGTCAGTTGCACCTGATCCAGATATTCTAATCCGAACCTCAGGCGAGACTCGCCTGAGCAATTTCCTTCTTTGGCAGACTACCAACTGCCTCTTGTGTTGTCCAAGTGTGCTGTGGCCAGAGATCAGTTTGTGGCATTTGGTGCAGGCAGTGTTGAATTTCCAGCGGCACCACTCTTATTTGGAGAAGAAAAAGAAGCAGCTATAACATTCTTGCTGTTACAACAGCTTCACACCTGCAGAGATTACTCCGACGTGACGGATTATTTTTTAAGTGGCACTTCTATGGTATGCAGAACCTGCTCAGATTCTATTTTCGGTGTTTTCTCGAGTGGGACATGAAGATTTTATAAGATACTTAACAGACTCAGGAAATGCATGGAAAGTTTTTCGTTTGCTGCAGTTATTGAGACTCTCTCTCAAAATCATAAAACCCTAAAGAAGCCAATGAAGAAGGGGTCTTTACTAACCAAACCCAGCTCTATTATTACACTTTCTTTGTCCTAGTCTTATTAGGACTGATCTCTATGATTTCTATAGCCTTTTACTTTTCATGTATCTTTTAGTTGTAACTTATTTTTTTTCTTGTTGAACTTCTAAGAATACCAACATGTATCTCACTGTATCTCCATAAAAGAAAGTACTATAAGTTATTTTCTTTTCATGCAATGCCCATGCACATGATTCATTTTCCATTTCTTTAATCGCAATTCCAAGACTCTAATTCCATACAACCCGAACATAGCGTTTGTAAAATTTGAGTATTCGTAATGGAGGCATGATGAAAGAGACGCATCTATCTTACCTTCTCAAAGTCGTTTTATCAATTTTCCAGATCAATTTTGATGAAGTTAGGAGATTTTTTTTTTTATTATCTGGCACCATTTATTGGAGTGTTAAGACTTGACACCACCTTAATGTCCCAACTCCAAAATGGTTTTGCTGGATATTGATATGCACTGAGAAGGTTCCATGACCCTTCAAATAGATTTTTCAAACGTTTGATAGCCATTCCAGTCCTGTCAAAGCCACTGCGGTCAAGATTCAAGAGTTAGTGGTCCCAGGATTTGGTGAATTACCACCACTTAGTTTATACTTCCCAGAACAAGACCTTAAACGAAAAAAAAACAAAAAAAAGGAAAAAAAAAATGTCAAGAAGGAAAAATTAAAATGAGGTAATGGAGTTTCTGTTTTTGTAATTTTGCTCTATTGAACTGTAAAGCAGATGTCATCCAAGCCTTTCTAGAAAGAAAGACACCTCTTAGCTGCCATCTACTTTTTATGTAATATTATTATCTTACATATATTGCTTATACCAAGAGTGGTAGTTTAGGAGAGAAATTAGTTTAGGGGGACAATTCGAACACCTACACATATATTTAAAAAGTTTTAAGTTTTATCAATTAGATCATTGTGTAATGTGTACAGAGAACTAGAGACAAATTAATGGTGTGAAAATAACTTCAATTACAAACATAAAATTTAAAGTTGAAGTCAAAATTTACCTCCTCCAACTTTTTATATTCACATTAAGACGTCAAAGTCTTTTGGGTTACTTGTACGTTAGGGTGCTTGCTTTTGGAATTAATGGCTTCCCTCGAGCATGTGTTGTTTGAAAATTTATGGTAGCAAAAGAAGACGCCAGTTTCACATCTTTTTCCATTCTGAAATTTCTTCTGGTTAACCTCTTTTCTGATGTCATATTCCAACATCCACCTAAAATTCATAATTTCTACATCACACATTGTTAGACTCATTGTTAACTCATCCTAGGCATTGATTGGGAAATTGAATTTGGATCCATTATTGGAATTGACCAAGTCAAACAATTTGTGGCTAAAAATGCGTCTCATTCAGTCTTTTCATCCTACCAAGTCAGTCCATTACAGGTCTATATATAAGATTTACTATATCAACCATATTTGTCCCATATTAGGTTCCAAACTTACCCTACCACTACCATTACCATGGTTCTGTCATTACACTACTGTGCTCTTGTTATACTTCCCTTCCTCCTCCTCTCAAATCAAGCCACCTCCACCTCTCACCACCACCACCACCACCACCACCACCATCACCACAACGGACTCAAATCCCTCCATTTCGCACTATTTCAACACGAAACCATAAACAAAACTGGCTACATCATAGTGAATGGAGTGGCAGGACCAGGCGTTAGCCAAACCACAACCCCCTTTGGCACCTTGTTTGCTTTCCAGGACCCGATGACTCTCACACCCAACTCGACTTCCAAAGTAGTTGGGACAGCAGAAGGGACCTCCATCACCACTGGACTTGATGGGCTTCAGAGCATCTCAATTGCCAAGATCACTCTCACTATGAAGCGCCACAAAGGCTCCATTTCCATTGTCGGTGGCACGCACAACGTCAAGCCTTCTGATCATCCTGTCGTGGGAGGCACCGGGGACTTCTTGTTTGTTCAAGGCTATGTCACATCCTCTCCGGTGGATCTTAAAGGCCTCACTGTTGTCTACAAGATTGAGTTTCACCTCTACTGGCCTCCATATGCAAAACAAACTACTTCCTTTTAGGAGACTTGCTCATGTACTAGTATTTTTTTTTTCCTGACTTTGTTATCTGTATTTCATTTATGAATGAGTAGATATATCATGAAATAATATAATACAATTGCTCAGACGACAACAATTCCATAGATTGGTTACCCAAACAGAGACTTGGGCAAGTTTGTTTGCTGAATATGTTTGGCAGTCTTTCGTCCCACATCGGTTATGAATAAAAAGGGGGAGTGAGGAGCTGGTTATAAAAGAGGCGGTTGTGTTCAAATTACACGTGTGATAATTCGAATTTTTAAGATTTTAAATTTTATTTCATAATTTTTAATTATCAAAATTGATGATTTAATTTTGATTGGATAATGGGTTGGAATTATTTTTGTTACATTTTATAAATACATATATATATATATATATATATATATATATATATTTATGTGGTGTCTGTTGGGGAGCTGGCTGCCTGCTGAAATTGAAAAGAAAGGAAGAGACTGAAAAGAAAGGAAGAGATATTAATGGGTGTTGATCTGTTAAGACACGTGGGGGAGGGATTTGTTTACATTATATATATATATATATATATATATATATTATGTTGCATCAGATGGTGATAAGAAGGAGCCGAGATTATGGAGAGAAGGGATGAATGAAAGAATGGTTATGATTTGATGTGGCCCACGAAATAGATTTTTTTTTTGCCCAAAAGTCTTGGCTATTCACGTGGGCTGATTTTGTTGTTTTTTTTAATTATTAAAGGCTGATTTTGTTAAAGTGATATATATATATAAAGTAATGTACTGAAATGATAAAGATGAACGGGGGGCGGGACCCCGTTCAGTGATGATATTGTACAGTGTGCTGTGTGAATTGTGTCGGTGGAAGCGAATATAAAAGTGAGTGTTTGTGCACTGAGTGAGTAAAAAGAAAGAAAAATAGAGTAAGGTACCGAGAGTTTGATCAAATACAGAGAGAGACGAGAGTTGCAGAGGAAGAGCTGAGAGTTGCAGAGGAAGCCGAGAGCTTGAGACTTTGATGATTCAGTAAGGAAAATTCATTTTTAAGGTAAGAGTTTCTAATTCATGGTCTTATTGTATTTTTGTGAATATGTTTGAATTAGTAATTAAATAAATTATTTAATTGCATGTTTAATTAGCAAAAGTTACTGAAAATTATTTAAATACCATATATGAAATTATGATAATGTGTTAATTGATTATATTGTGTTTAAAAATGTTTGTGTGAAATAAATTTGTGAAATTATATATTTAAATTGTTGGCAAAATATGGAATGATAATATGAGTTGTGTAGTTTTTAGTAATTTATTAATTTATTTGAAAAAGTATGTCGGAACTTTATGGATGAATTGATGAAATGAAGCATAAAGTATTCATGTATCTGTTGGGAAAGAAATATGAGGAAAAATGTTTTAAAATAAATGAATTTGTTCTTGGGAAAAATATTTTTCAAAGGAGTTTGCGAAAACCGGACGCCTAGGAGGCTTCTAGCTGTCTATGTTGTTAGTGTAGTCGAAAAGGGAGTATGGTTAAGCTAATTAGGTCGGATTCGACGCTTTGGAGGTACTTTGTGGTCGTGGATAGTTAGTCAACTCTCCATTTATGACGCCTTGGAGGTGTCTTGTGGTCGTGGATAGTCAACTCTCCATTCGTTACGCCTTAGAGGTGCCTTGGGTCGGATTCCATTAACGGTTTGGAAGTTGAAACAGAAATGTTTCGAAAAATGGGGGGTGACATTTGCATAATATTGCACTTCATGACATTGTGGTAAACTTGTGATTGGTTGATATTTGCTACATACTTGTTGTTATGGTTGGGAATGTGCGTTTTCCTATGGTATGATTCTGTTCACTTTTTTATCTATTCATTGTATGGATTCACGGGGATATAAGAAGTGTGTCTTGGACACTTCCTTCTGAGTTTTATTCTCACCCCATCATTTTAACATTTTTCAGGTTACGGGAAGAAAGTGACAGATGACGTTCCTCCACAGGTTTTGATGGGTTAGTGAAATGTTTTGATATATTTTGAAGCTATGATCTCATTTTAATAATATTATTATTATTATATATTAATTCTAAGATGACACGTATATTATGTATTGATATAAGAAAGGACGATAACGTCTTTAGTTGATCCCGGGTTCGAGTAAGGACCCGATTAGCGATTCAGGCCTTCGGGTTCGGGTCGTTACAATATCTTTCTTGGCCTTTTGGTTAAGATTAAGCGTAATATCTGTTCTTATCAGTTTAATATCTAATACGTGGGCTAATGGCCCACATGATATTAAATTTAATTTCTGAGGGGAAGAGAACATCACAGTAGCTTGCTGCTAGGGCTCCTGTATTAAATTTATTTTTTTGATGGGGGAGAGACCATCACGGTAGCTTGCTGCTAGGACTCCTATATTAAATTTATTTTTTAAGGGTGAGAGATCATAACAGTAATTTGCTGCTGGGGCTCTTGGGCATCGCCTTGGTATTGTGCTATTGCTTTGGCCTGCGTACCCCACCCAAATCAAGTTATGGTTTTTACTTATTTGATCTCTTGGTGCTTTTGGCCCTCTGACTTGGGGCTTAAAGGCCCATTAATAACACCAAAGAAAACGGGCTTCAAAACACCCATTAGGGATTTTATTTTTAAATTCTTTTCTATTTATACATTATATTTAGATTTTATTGAAACTTTTTAAGTTGTCATTAATTACGTCGTATCTATATATATTTCATGAAATGTCTATGATAACAGGAATGAAAAAATATATTTTTACTAGTACTGAAATGAACAATGAATGTATACACTCTCTCATATATATATATATATATATATATATATATATATATATATTTCATGAAATGTCTATGATGCCAGGAATTAATGTATTAATATAAGAATAAATATACTTTTACTAGTACTGAAATGAACAATGAATGTATACTCTCTCATACTAGTGTGTGTGTGTGTGTGTGTGTATTTCATGAAATGTCCTTGTGTAATAAATACCGATTTTTCCCAATTCTCATCAACAATGTAATTAACAAATATTCTGGCAGAATTTCAAGAAAATCCGAAAGTCAGTTTCACTCTTTAATTAATATTATATCGATGAGAGAAACAAATCAAAACTTCCTCAAAATTATCTACCAAGTCCCATGTCGGTAGAATTTCAAGAAAATCCGAAAGTCAATTTCACTCTTTAATTAATATTATATTGATGAGAGAAACAAAATCAAAACTTCCTCAAAATTATCTACCAAGTCCCATGTTTCTATAATATTTTGTATAAAATTTTCTATAATGTTCGTTATATGAATGAGTAGATATATCATCAGAGGTCCAAACCTGTGCAGATGTTGATGCAGATCGATAATTCATGATCATACAAATGACATTTTGGTTGTGTAAATGATAAGTAAGATCAGCCCACAAATACTTTAAGGAATTATTTTATTATAACACTATGATGTTAGAGCAAGTGAGGTCCTGCTCGGCAAAAATAAGAAGTTCAAGGACTGCTTGGACAATTCCATTGAATTGTTCCCTAAAAGTGCCCTGTTGAAAACTTTTGATTAGGAGAGACAACACCAGAATTTTCCATTTCCATCCACCTAAAATAATAATAATAATAATAATAATAATAAAGAGAACAAAACCATCTCCTACTCTTGCTTGCAAATTTACTTCTCACAAAGAATCCACCCATCCATATAATTATTGCTACTCTCTCCCTAAATATAACCATATTTACACCATCAAAAAGGATTTAAGACCACTGCATTTAATGGTTAAAGTACAAGTGGGCAAAATATTATAGGCAATGCCTTTGTTGATACAAGCTTGACAAGATTATAAATTAATGGCAAGTAAATCAATTCTGTGTATAACTTGCACAAGACATTGCATCTTATTAGAAGCTGTTTACCATTCTGCTGGTACATTCAAGTCAAACAACAAATTATTTAATTTAGAACACAAAAGGGACAGTAATCACAGATAATTCATGTCACTGCTGGACTAAATTGATATCCTCTCACCGTCTTGCTTCCTCTTTGCTCCTGAAACACCTTTCATACGCGGGCTTTACCTTCACATACTCGGCCTCGTGTTGAGACGAGAGGCGAGCTTCTGACCCAGGGACCTGTCAGCCTGTTGCCACAACAGAAGAATCCCTTTTTAAATCTGTTTTTGTTAAATGGCTTTACTCCAAAATAAACATGTTCAATGATGGAGGAATAGCAGCCAAGTAATTTCAACACCAGACCAAAAAATGAAAACGTGCTAGTGGGGTCAGCAAATTTGAATTACTATTAAACGATAGAAGATTTACCTGAGACCAGTATGAGATCCAAATAGTGCGTATCTCATGGGTGACTCTTGGGTCAGATAAAGCTGCAACCCATCGGCAGATGTAGCGCTCTTGCCTATAAAAGGGAAAAAGAACGTAAAATAGACACAAAAAAAATAAGATAAAAAAAATCACAAAAGCTATTTGTGGATAAAAGTTTTAACAGATTTGGACAAACAAGAATACCTGTCTGGGGCGAAGGAGCGGTATCTCTCCCCAGGCTGCTTGAAATTGTTCTCCTTCTCAATGATACACTAGAGATAACAAAAGGAAGATAGTTGGCCAATGTTAATAATCTGAACTCATAGAAATACTGTACACTTCGTCAAACCAACCATAAACCATTGGTTCAAAGACTAGTGCAAGGAAGAAGCACAACAATCTACATTGAAACCATATAATCTGACTCCAAGTTAGATAAGAATCAAATTTCACCCCTCTAATTCAACTCCAAAACCAGTTTCGATACGATGATCTAGAGCATAAGAAGACAAACCTTCTCGCGCTTGCCGGTATGAATAGGAAGAGGGATGGGGAACCTCTCAGCATGATGTACAGGGTCGAACCTTGAAGGGAAGTAGTTGACCTAAATAAAAGTCATCAGAGCATATTAAAAAAGTCAACAAAGGTCAGAGCAACATACAGAAGAGCTCATCACAACATATAGGATAAGAGGGTTAAGTGGCATGGACAACAGTAGTATTCTAATACAATAGATACATGTTGAACAGTCTCAAGGCACACTAGAGTACTATGAAAGCTCATTAGGGAAAATGATGACTGATGACTTAAAACTCTCCCCCTGCTTCCATTTTGCTCATGTGATTAAGCATGTATGAATGTGTCAAAAAGAGAGAAGAAAGAGTACCTCCTCATCCCTGTGCATGAAGTTCATGAAACCTTCATGGTGATTGTTGTGATGAGCACACTTGGGAGCATTTGCAGGAAGCTGTAGATAGTTTGGCCCAAGTCGGTGTCTCTGAGTATCAGCGTAGGAGAAGATTCTAGTTTGGAGTAACTTGTCATCCGAATAGTATATACCCGGGACAATAATAGCAGGGCAGAAAGCAAGCTGCTCATTCTCAGCAAAGAAGTTATCAATATTCTTGTTTAACACCAAGCGGCCCACTGGCTGCAAAGGCAAGATGTCCTCAGGCCAAGTCTTGGTCACATCAAGTGGATCAAAGTCAAATCTGTCTTCATGGTCAGGATCAATAGTCTGGATGAAAAGCTTCCACTCAGGGTAGTTGCCAGCTGCAATTGAGTCATAAAGATCTTTAGTGGCATGGCTGTGATTTGATCCAACAACCTTGATTGCCTCTTCCTCCAACAAACACTTCACTCCACAAGTGGGTTTCCAGTGAAACTTCACATAATGTGCTTTACCAGCTCTGTCAACCAGTGTATATGTATTAACGCCAGAACCTTCCATATGCCTGTAATCCTGTGGAACACCCACGTCGTCGAAGAGGAAAGAGAACATGTGCAAGCTTTCTGGGTGGTGGGAGAAAAAGTCAAGGATCCTCCAGTCCTCCTGGATATGGGACTTAGGATTGGGTTTAAGAGCATGGACCATGTCAGGGAATTTCATCCCATCACGGATGAAGAATACTGGGAAATTATTCCCCACCAGATCAAAGTTACCCTGATGACAAGGTATCAATCAGGCAAATTAGTGAGTGCTAACAATAAATAGTGAGCTGAACTTAATAGCAGAAAAATTATTAATCATTAGGTAAATTTGCTAATAAATTATTATGAGTGTACAAAAGTTGCGCCATGCGTATTATGATATCTCATGCCGGAAGGGAAACACACATTAAGGGAGGGAAGACTACATCCAACCAATGTCAGGGCACATCGTGCACAGATGTATGCATGCAACATGAACATCTGCACATGAACTAGACCACAGCAAATTGCATATAAATCTCTTTGGGAAGAAAGTGTTTTTGTGTTTAATACCAAAACAACTCTCAACGGTTTGCATTTGAGAAAACATTTCACAACAAGGACACTGGTTCCAGAGGACTTGAGAAGAACAGAACAATCTTATGGGATATGTGAGTATGTGACACTAATTTTGCAGAGAAGGATCAAATATATCATAAAATAAATGGATGGCATGTCCCCAAAAACATTAATGTGGCATAACTACAATGATGTGGGGCCACAATCTCAGGTGATAGGAGTCTAATAGAATAAAATTAACCCTGTTTAGCAACAAACAAGCAGAATTAGTTATTAACTAGTTTGGTTACCTCTCTAGTGTAGAACTTCACAGCAAAACCTCGAGGGTCCCTCAGTGTTTCAGGGCTCCCACGCTCGTGTATGACAGTGGAAAACCTAACAATGACAGGGGTCTGAACACCAGGGGCACGAAGAAAATCAGCACATGTGAGGTGAGAAACATCATGAGTGACTTCAAAAAACCCTTTTGCACTAGCTCCTCTGGCATGAACAACTCGTTCTGGGATGCGTTCCCTATCAAAATTGGCAAGTTTTTCCACCAAATGATAATCCTCGAGGAGAATTGGGCCTGCCAAGAAAAAGCCAGGGCTTAAATATCAATCTACACTTATACGAGGTATTAGGTTTTAAGTCAAAGGTTATACCTAACATCAATAAACAAATAGAAGATTAAGGGTAAAAAATTATTCGACGAAGTAAGACTATCTATCATCTATTTAATCAACATCTCATTAAAATAAAATGCTCAGAAGAGCAAAATATATTGACTATATCAAGAAATATCATATTAAATTGTTAAATGTGTGAAAAGAGAATATGTAAAACCTCAGTTCACATATAAAACTCATAAACTACGCATATATTTCATATCTTAATGATCAAAGTATTTACTTAAGAGAGCACATATTGCTAAGATGAAAGAAAACAATATATATACAGTATTCACTCAATAGTATAACACAGAATTTTCAAATTCAAGCCCATTCGAAAGATATAAAAGTAATGGTTAAAATGCTCGTATACAAAGATATACATCTTTGTGTTTGTACATATACATTTTGATATTTAAATAATCATAAGATATACAAACCGGAATTCTTTTTCTCTCTCTCTCACTCATCAATGACATCTGGAATTCAATTTTTGACGACTGAAAAACAACATGGAGGCCCAAACTCACAAATTTAAGGCCCCCTTTGTCAAATGAGCTTCGGTACCCAAAAAAAGAATAATATACGGCAGATAGATTAACATCAATACCTCTTGATCCAACGGTAAGAGATGAATTGTTATTCCAAACAGGAGCACCAGAGTTTGTAGTGAAATATGGAGAGTTGTAAGCACTTGATGGGCGATACTGTGCCGAATGACAAAAATCATGAGTAATAAGTAAATTCAACACAAATACTAGGAACACCTCTCCAAGAATATCAATATCCAAAAATCAAAGATAAAAAAGGGCATTAAACCAGTATAAAGACTTCGAAAAATGATAAGGTTATCACACAAATCAGGCCAAAAGGCTAAAACCTAATAAATAATTAAGGAAAGAACAAAGATATATCAACTATATTATGTAAGACACCCTTATAAAAACTAACTATATTATGTAAGACACCCTTATAAAAACTATTCCTATGAGGAGGAAAGTCATTCCTTTGAGGGGGCTAAAGAGTGCAATATACCATTTGGTTGCTCAAAAAATATTGGGAGAGAAAGAAAACAAGTTTGGATCCCTAATTTTTTAAAAATAGGGACCCAAAAAAGCAATAAACTCCCTTTAGCTGTGTTAACACTAATTTTTAAGCTGAGTTGAGAATTTTTATAATTTTTTTATTTTTTTTCTGTAAATCGAAACAAGATTCAACATTTTAAGTTTCGTTCATTCTTCCTCAATTTTCTTGGCAACCAGACGGGCTGCTAGAAACAAGAAAATTTCAAGAAAGGGTAGTTACCTTGCCAAAAAGAATCAAATGAACATAAAACATCAAAAAGGATATAATCAAGAGTTATAGATATCAATTCTGAACAAGATTAAAAACAGATAGAAGAAATAAAATCAACTGAATCATAGCAAAAACTCGCCGAAATAGTGAAGGTCAATTGATTTAGCAACAGAATCGAACGAAGATGAACATCCAAATATATAATCCACAGTTGTATATAGCAATCCGAAACAAGATTAAAAATAACATATAAGATGAGTCAGAGCACAAAACAATGAAACCAAGCATTCGATTTGAAAACCCAATAACAGTAATACAGGAAGAAAATGGGTACCCTGTAAGGATCCATGGTAGAGCGAGAAAGTAATACAAGAGAGAGAGGACCTCGGGACAAGGAGGAAAAAGTGGCATACACGACCTTATATAGTTATATTTAAAGCATATCCCATCACAAATTTTGTTTTATTTTTAGCAAACAGGGTGTCTCCGTCCTTTACCCTTATTTTTTTAACCACCATCACAAATTCACAACCTTCTATTTCTGATTATTTTATTTGATTTCATAATTGAAAAAATCAAAATTTTAGTACGCGAAAATGGTTAATCGGTGCGATTTAGTATTTTTATAACTAATTACAAAATAAATCAGACAAATTATAATAAAATGATATTTTTTAAAAATGTTTGTATATTTACTAGACGTAATATCAAACTAATTAGAGTGAATAATAGTAGATGCTCTCCTACTAATTTTTTTTTTTTTAGTAGCATCAACTTCTTAGCCCAAAATACTAAAAATTGTTCTTAATAAATTGTTTTTTAATTTTAAAAAATATTATTTATGTAATTCTTAGAAAAACTATCTGCAACCTCAAATGAAATCTCTCTAATTTGAATTCAATTAGTAGTAATTTTCTATTATTTACTCTTTCCGTCCCACGTTAAAAATTCATTTTGACTTTTGTTCTATATTAAAAGTTCATTTCGAGAATTATGAATCACAAAATTGTGAATCACAATTTTTCGAAGTGAACATTTAAAATAAAACAGAGATAGTTGTATTTCTTTCTTGTTTTTATTTAACTTTTATTTGTTCAATATCTCTTTTTTATTTACTATTTATTTATTTTTTATTGGTGTTGTGGTTCACTAATTTAAGTGAAAAGTAGGGCCGGATTGATAATTATTTTATGTGAAGGTTATAAATTCAAAGGGCGTAGATAAGTTTGAGAAATTATGAGAAGGTGATGCATTCATGATCCGTTTTTGTGTGTTTTTTTATGCAACCACATTTTCATCACTCACAGCCACATCTGGCAGAAGGTGACATGTATATGGAGCCACATAAGCGGCTAAGGCTTTGAAACGTGTGCGAAAATTATTAAGTCTGGGTGGATAGGCCTCGAGTGATGATGATCATGCGTAGTGAGGTCTCATGGAAATGCGTGAATACATCATATGGGCCAATCTTTTAACAGATTCCGCTTCACTTGTGGGTTTGGCCCTTGAGCCCACAACTGAAGTGGGACTCTGTTAAAAGATTGGGCCAAAATTGTGAACCAGAAGTGGACTCAAATCTTAGCCATCTGAAGTCCATCAACCACCATTGGGCCCACCTTAAGCCCATCAATCATTTTACACGAGCCTTCTAATTACGGACGTCCAAAGATATGAACCAACAACCCAGTTGCTAGAGATCATACGAAACAAGAAGAGGTTAAAGGTTGAGACCTGAATGATGGCGATTTCAACTTAAAAATTATTTTACAGAAAAAATAAAAATAATTAAAAAAAGAAAAAGCAAATCCAAGCTAGCCCAACAGGGGTGGACTCATGTAAAACAAAAGCTAACTGAAAATGCCTAGGAATGAAATCTCCTTCACATGTATTATGTGAGTGCTTCTACAATTGGAAACAACTGCCTAGACATATTTTCCATATATGTACAGACAACATCCTATATTGCAATTCCAAAATAAGAAAAATCACCTATCTACTAAACCATGATTCTCCACTGCACCCTACTACCCTCACCTTCTTCAAGTTGATTCCATGTAGAAATTCCATTCTCCCCATTCAAATCTATAGCCAGTACCATGCATGTTGAGTCTAAGGTCTTGTTTCATCATCAATGTCCATGGACTCCACTCTTATATGTACGTTCAATCATATATATATATATACACATGAATTTATAGTGCAGTTATATACGTATGTATATATATACGTTCTAATCATATATATATATATACAAAAATTTATAGTGTATATATATATATATATATATACACACTATATATGAACTTTGCAAATGGAGTTACATATGATCGACTATCATTGGATGAAACTCCCACGCTCACGTGACATTATTATTTTTTATTTTAAGTGACAAAATTAATTAGTTGGCAATTTAATGTCAACAATATATAACATAGTACGTATAAGAAATTTATAAAAATTATAAAACATGAAAGAATAAAAGAATAGAGACGCCAAAGATAGAATTCAATTTAAAGTACTCAATTATTCATATAATAACCATAAATTGTTTCTTCCATATTCTGGAAAAACAGAAACTTACATAAAACACATCATGATGATAATAATAATAATAATAATAATAATAATAATAATAATAATAATAATAATAAAGTACTCCAGCAAAAATACTCAAAAACAGAAGCCAATTATTCAAGTACTACGTCCTCTTGAGAACCACCACATGCGCATCCTCATGTGTCTGAGGGGGGTGACCGGTTCAGATCAATATCTTGACCATCTTCCCTTTTGGGTGATGGTGGCTGATCGTCCTCAGCGCCTTCTTCAGGCGCCGGCACGTTAAGATCTAGCCCCGCCTCCTCTCTTCCCCCTCCTTTGGTCTCTGCCACAGGCGCCGCAGCCACTTCCTCCCTTCTTTGGCTCGTACTTTCGCTGACTACTCGGCCCTGTAGTCGCGCAATCACCTTCGCCATGTCTTCGTCGATTTCTTCTTGGTTGAAGCGTGGCGGTGGATATGCACCACGCCAACTGCGATCCTTATGACTCCTCAGGTGCCCGAACAAACTTTTCTCTCTGTCAAACACTCTCGGACACTCACTGCATTTATACACGACCCGCTGTGGTTGTGGCTGTGGCTGTGGCAGTGGCTGTGGCTGTGGCTCTGGTTGTGGTTGTGGCTGATTATCAACCGGCTTTATCTTTGATTTGCTTGAAGAACTAGCACCGGGATCGCCTTCTCTGTATCTCTTCTTCGGAGGAGTAGGCCTCCGGGCTTCACCGCCACCATCAGCCTGACCGGACCCAACATTGGCCCCTTCTGCCCGAGCGGTACCACCAGCTGCAGATAATGATCCGGCACGGGCATGGTGGGGAGGCTGGGGATCAGGGTTTTCTGTTTGTGGCATTGGGGGAGGATGTTCTCCGGTGCGAGGCGGGGAGGGTTGGCGGTCACCTCGGCCGGAAGATTGATCCCCGGAATTATCTTTGGGATTACTCATTTGTAAAGAGAAGATAAGTGAAGTACTCGTAATAGAAGGAAGAAGGAAATGGGGACCAAATTATAAGTGGGATGTAAGGCAATGGGTGGGTAATATATATAGTGGTGGGAAAATTTTGAATTGGTGGTTATTTAAAGTTAACCGTTTCTGTCTCCCAACAATATACTTATATGAAAAGTTGCGTCCCTTTATTTTGAACCCTACACGTGGACAGATGATGAAAATGTACAGTTCTGATAGGATAGATCAGTGAGAGATGATGATGCGGTGCATGGGACCTTTTGTTGGTGAGGAGTAGTAAAATCGCAACTTGTACCTTTTCAAATAAGCGGGAAACTGACCGTTAAGTAGTTAACAGAACGCACTGGTTCGGCAAATAGTGTTACGATTATAAGCACTGGTTCGGGAAATAGTGTGACAATTATACCCCTATATTATACGTGAACACCCAACTCTTCGGTCTATCACATTTGATGAACATAAATTCAGTGGTCACATGCTGCCACGAGGGTGGTTGCTTGGGATTTTTTTTAATTTTTTTGGTGTAATTAATGGTTGAAATTTTTATATGAATTATTGAGTGAGTTGGGTATGTCATATTATTAGTATGTCTCATAAAAAAAATCCACCATATAATAGGATGAAATTGGTTCTATGATATAATAAAAATTGCTCTTCACACCCTAATTTGTTAAATTTTTATTTACTCAGGCATATTAATGACGTGATATTCTAGTACAGTTTCAAGTGTGGGATTCTTTTCCGGTGGAAGAGCTTTGGTTCTGCATGGAGCTGGTTGAGTTTGCTAGGTGATAGAGGCTTTTGAAAGTGTGATGCATAGGGGTGGTGGTCTAGACGTATTCTTTTTTTTTTATCATATGTTGTGGTTGAAGCAACATCAAAGTAATTTCTTGGTTGGGCTCTGCATGCGCGCGTAGAGCAATGTAGTGTTTGATGATGCAAGTCCTTTCTTTATTCATGACGTTATGTACTTTGATTTAATGAATAAGAAGATTGTGTGTGTGTGTATATATATATATAATATCTTCAAGCTGTTGTATATATTAATTGTTGGATAATGATAGGCTAGTTGTTTCAAACTGGAGCCTAAGTAAAATTTTAACTTTATTTTTTATAATAAGGCAAAACAGATATGAATATGTAAGTTATTTTTTTTTCCTCTCTTTTTATCTTCTGTTTTGCTTTTTAGTTTGGCTTCTGTCAATATTAAAAACCATTTTTTTTTTTTTTTCAAATACTCTTCTATACATTATTTCTAAACCAGTAAATTATATATATATATATATATATATATATATATATATATATATATATATAACTTAGAGTATATAATATTATCAATCAATTAAACATTATTTCTATACATTATTTCTAAACCATTTCTAAGTTATATATATATATAACTTAGAGTATATACATTATTTCTAAGTTATATATATATATAACTTAGAGTATATAATATTATCAATCAGTTATATATATATATATAACTTAGAGTATATATATAACTTAGAGTATATACTCTTCTATACATTATTTCTAAACCAGTAAATTATATATATATATATATATATATATATATATATATATAACTTAGAGTATATAATATTATCAATCAATTAAACAAAAATCTCATTTTCTCAATATATACTTGCCCCAAATTTTTCGGTTCCAACTTACAAAATAAAAAAATCTCTCTTACTTTTGAGTTGAGATCAAAAGTGAGTAATGAACAAATCAGATTCTTGAATACCATATAAATTACTCCATTTGTTCTAAAATAGTTGTCTGTTTTGGGAGATGTGCTATTTTGGGACGGAGGGAGTATATAATCATATTTTTTTATACATATAATATATGTATTTTAAAAAAAATTCAGCATTTACTTTTTTAACGTTGCAATTCATACTTATTTTTATGTAACTCAAAGTATGAGATTGGTGGTTGGTTTAAACGGAGTCTTGCTCATATTTGGCTTGAATTATCCTCTTTATACAATTGTACTATTATTTGATAATTGAAAATAATGGAAGATGGATAGTTTAATATGTATTACATATTATGCGTTTCAGTTTTTGCTAGATTATTAATTTGTATTATTAATACATCAAATTCGTATTTGTTTATAAATTAAAGTCTAATTGTTTACTTGAAACTTATGTAAATTTTTGCTTAAATCTTATTTTTGTTAGGGAAGTTTGATAAAAAAAAAATAATAATAAAAAAAAATAAAAAAAACCTTCTTGAAATAGTTTTTTTTTAATAAATTGGCAAAAATTTGGCTAGATATATATTTGTATGAATAAAATGAATAGTAAATTTTCTAAAAACTTTTTTAGCTTGAATTAATCTTATGGTTGCTTCAAAGTTTGGCCCCCCAACCACAAAATTCTGACCCCGCCCTTATTAATGATATTATCTTTTCTTGATGAATATTATGTGTATTTATATCATCATAATTAAGTTTATGCTGTAAGAACATTGAAAACCTTCATTGGATCTATCTTACTGGAGTGAAAAAATAAAATAAATCAGAAATTATAGATATGATTTATATTACCTCCACATTTATTTTACTGACCAATTTTATTTTAAATTTATTTTATTTTATTTATTTTATTTTTTTTCTGAATGGTAAGATGAGTATTATAAAAATAAGAATCCATTATGGGCAAAAATTACAAAAGCCTAATGGCCCAGTGACTTGCAAAAGGTTTGCAAAGAACAAAAGCCAATAGCACAAAAACCAAAAACCACACTGGCCCAACCAGTGGCGTAACCACGTAGGGAAAAGTGGGTGCAACTGCCCTCACTAAATTTTTAATTTTTTTAATTTTTTTTTTAATTTTATATAGAAAGATTTTTATATTCGTATAACTGTCCCCACTAAAAGTTGACATTGCACATAATCTTTCAAAAAAGGAATATAATCTTTTCAAAAAATATGATATTAAAGGAATATAATCTTTTCAAAAAATATATATATTTTTTTCCACTTTCTTAAAATATTATATTTTTTTACACTTTCCCAAAAAATACAAGATTCTTTCTGACTTTTGACTTTACCACAAACAAATGCGTTGTTAATTTTTAAAAATTTACAAAATCTAAACAAATACGGCAGTGGGAGACAGGTAATCTGATATATAATTTTTTATCATCTAAATTTACTATTATTATGCCATGAACATTTTTAAAACTCGACTGCGTATTTTCAAAATATGAAAAATATTTTGAAATATTTAGTACTGTTTAATTTTTACATATATTATTTTGGTTCAAATAATATATATATATATTATTGCTGTTAAAAATTGCCCCTACAAGAAAATTTCTGGCTACGCCACTGAGCCCAACCAGTGGGATTACAACTGAATTACAAAGCATATTAACACTTGACCTCCAATGGTGAAGAAGCACCGATGGAGGAGGGCAACCTTGTAAATCTGGAGGCGTGGGAGGGGGACGGATGAAAGCACCGGAACACAATTACATAATACTGCATTCTCAACACACTTAAGCCAATTTATATTAGTGATAAATATATGAACTTGGACCACTATTGGCCTATTTGGGGCTTATATAGAGTTGCAACAAAATGCATATGATTATCTAGAGGAATGAGTTTTCAATATATGAATTTTGACACGCCTGTAATTTCATATGAGTAGGCATTAGATGAAACTCACGTGCTCACATAATTAACATGATTAATTAAATTAAAAGGTGATACAATGTCAATACGTATCACTGTTACAATGAAGACTTTTTGTACATATATAAAAATTAAAAGAATAAAAAGAAAAAAAGATCATCAATAACAAAATATTTAAAGTAAAAGACAATGCTTCTTTCCAATTCAGGATAAAGGATCTTCATCCAATTTAAAGATGTGGCCTAATAGAATTGCAACAAATGTCCAAATTTTTTTTAAAAAAATATTAAATTGGCAATAATGAAGACTTTTTGTACATAGATAAAAATTAAAAGAATAAAAAGAAAAAAAGATCATCAATAACAAAATATTTAAAGTAAAAGACAATGCTTCTTTCCAATTCAGGATAAAGGATCTTCATCCAATTTAAAGATGTGGCCTAATAGAATTGCAACAAGTGTCCAATTTTTTTTTTAAAAAATATTAAATTGGGCATTGCCCATATATATGCAAGTATAACCCATATCTTCCTTTTTTTAATTTTATTTATTTCCTTTGCATCGGCGCCTTCTTCCTCTTCCCCGTAACCGACAACTGGACCACTTTGGCCGACGACAATCCAAATCCTTCTAAGTCTTTCCTAATCTGCCGCCACCGCCTTCGGCCTCCTGGATCGACCGCGGAAACCCTAATTATTTTATATATATATATATATATATATATATATATATATATATATATACGCGCGCGTGTCTCTCTGTGTGTAGTGTGTGTGAATTGGGGTTTAGGGCTAATGTTTGGTTTTTTATATCACAGATATGGCGTGGAGGCCGAGGCCGAGGTCGTTGGCAATGGCAAAGTTCGGCGGAGATGGCAGAGTTAAAAGAGCGGACGAAAGTGTTGTGGTAGAGGATGAGTTGCCAGGGGCATCGGTGGTGGTGGTTGTGGCACCACTGATTATGACTGTAATGGCCCTGGTTTTTCAAGCCATTGCGTCTTATGATGAATAGAAGATTGACCCGATAACGGATCAAGATGCGGAAGCAAGAAATAAGACAACGGTCTCCCAAGGCACAACATACCTCTAAGACACTAAGGTGACCTTCCATGAAGTCATAAAACTCAATAAGAACTGACGCGGAAGAAAAAGATCGGAAAAAGATCAAATAAGCCCCCAGGGGCAAAATAGTCTTTTCACATGGAAGCAATGTCCCTATGAATGTATATTTTTCCCAAGACACATCCGTGAGTCACGGAACTCAAAAGAAGTAGTAGAAGCGGATTAAAAGAAAATCGGACAAATTTAGCCCCAAAGGCAAAATGG